CTTTTCACTGTCTATTGTCTGTTGGGATTTTTTTCTCTCTCTTGGTTTCTGTTTCTTTGGTATTATCTCCTGGTAATTTTTTTTTTTTTGGCTGTGTTGGGTCTTCATTGCTTTGCGTGGGCTTTCTCTACTTGCGGCGAGCAGGAGGTACTCTTCGATGCAGTGCGCGTGCTTCTCAATCCGGTGGCTTCTCTTGTTGAGGAGCGCGGGCTCTAGGCGCGCGGGCTTCAGTAGTTGCAGCACGTGGGCTCAGTAGTTGTGGCTCATGGACTCTAGAGCGCAGGCTCAGTAGTTGTGACGCACGGGCTTAGCTGCTCCGTGGCATGTGGGATCTTCCCAGACCAGGGCTCAAACCCGTGTCCCCTGCATTGGCAGGCGGATTCTTAACCACTGCGCCACCAGGGAAGTCCCAATTTTTTTTTTATTGAAAGTCAGGTATTGTGTATGAAAAATTAAATAACTGTATGTTCCAGATGGTGCTGTCTTCTTCCATAAAGGCTTTACTTTGGGCAAGCAGTTAGGTAGGGGCAGATCACCCTAATCTAATACTGGGAATCGAACTGACTCAAAGCTGGGCTTCAGTCTTTTTGGAGGCTGGTCTATTTCCACTTTATCCATCTTCCAAGGGTCTAGCTCTTTGAAGTCCCAAATAAAAGACTGGGACATTCACCAGGGCACCTCCTCCTTGATGGGCACTGGGCTCCAGTGTTTCCCCCCAGCTCCAGGGACAGTCTGAAGCTCTGCCCAGCATATTAGCCACTTACCTGCTGATTTCTGTTGCCCATGATTTGGCAAGTGTTTCAAGGGTAAAAACAGCATCAAATGTTGGACTCACTCTCTCTGCTGTCCTTTTCTCTGGCTCTTTACTCCTCAAGTTCTTGCTGCCTTTATGACTCTCAACAGATGGGCACGCACACGCGCGCGCCCACACACGCACACACACACACACACACACACACACACACACACAATGGGGAAATGCATGATTTAATGTCTGCAGAGGAAGAAAATCAGGTCCAGAAGATTCCATGATGTTTTCAGGGAAAGATGTAGGGATCCATCTCTTCGAAAACAAGCTCTTCTGAGCCCCTTTAAAACCTTTTAGATTTAGAGTCAGCAGATAGGGTCTCTCAACCCAGCCCCACCTCTCTAAAGAAAAATTTTAACTTTCATTGCTATAAAATTATACTAATAATGACATCTGTCTCTCTGGATTATTTTTTCTTTTTTTTTTCTTTTTTAAATGGCCTTGTTGTTTATCTATTCCATATATAATAGCTTACATCTGCTAACCCCAGCCTCCCACTCCATCCCTCCCCAACCCCGCCTCCTTGGCAACCACAAGTCTGTTCTCTAATGTCCATGAGTCTGTTTCTGTTTCGTAGATAGGTTCATTTGTGTCATATTCTAGATTCCACATATAAGTGATATCATATGGTATTTGTCTTTCTCTTTCTGACTTACTTCAGTTAGTATGATAATCTCTAGTTGTATCCATGTTGCTGCAAATGACATTATTTCGTTCTTCTTTCTGTAGTTCTTTTAAGTGGTAGTTTAGGTTGTTTATTTGAGATTTTTCTTGTTTTTTGAGGAGGGCCTGTAATGCTATGAACTTCCCTCTAAGAACTGCTTTTGCTGTATCCCATAGATTTTGTAAGATTGTATCTCTGGACTGATAATGAAACAACTTCTTTCATCAAAATTAACAGATTTCAATATACACTTTGTGCAGGCACTGGGCTAGATCTTCTGCTTATATTATTCAATTTTTAAAATTTATAAATTATAGAGTACAAGCATATCCATTATGATAAAAATCTTTTTTAAAAAAATTTTTTTAAGAAAACTGCTATTTTCAACAGAGACCAAAGGCTTTCTTTGAGGAGCAATTTTTTATTTCTCAGGCATGAAGCCTGGAGGACCAGGAGATGTGCTGAGCAGGACATTTCTCAAAGACCAGGGAGAGTCGCTCTAGCACCTGTGTTCCTCTACTTGTGAAGGTGCTGGCAAAGCCCAATGAGGAGCTGTGGCAGCAGCAACCAGCATGGTAATCTAGAGATGGATCCCAGGCTCCCATCGGGGATGCCCAGGGCTAAGGGATATTGCTGATCACCAGAGATGTTATCTTCCCATTTCACCTTGATGACCTCTTTTCAGTAGTGTCTAGATCAGCGGGGTGGGATGAATTGGGAGATTGGGAATGACAAATGTACACTATTGATACTATGTATAAAATAGATAACTAATGAGAACCTACTGTGTAGCTCAGGGAACTCTACTCAGTGCTCTGTGCTGACCTAAATGGGAAGGAAATCCAAAAAAGAGGGGATATATGTATACCTATAGCTGATTCACTTTGCTGTACAGTGGAAACTAACACAACATTGTAAAGCACCTGTACTCCAATAAAAATTAATTATAAACAAAAATAGTGTCTAGATCAGACCTTGGTTAACAAACAACGGCCCATGGGCCAAATCCAGCCTTCTGCCGCTTTCTGTATGACCTGTGAGCTAAGAATGATTTTTACATCGATTTTTTTTTTTTCACGTGGACATCTAGTTATTACAGCATCATTCGTTGAAAAGACTGTCTTTTCTCCATTGTGCTGCCTTTGCACTCTTGTCAAAGAGCAGTTGACTCTGTTTGTGTGGGTCTGTGTCTGGACCCTCGCTTTTGTTCCACGGGTCTGTTTGTCTATTCTGCCAGTATCATCCTGTAGCTTTATTGTAACTTTTGAATTTGGGCAGTGTCAGTCCTCCGACTTTGTTCTTCTCCTTTGATATTCTGTTAGCTCTTCTGGGTCTTTTGCCTCTCCGTATAAACTTTAAAATCAGTTTGTTGATATCCAAAAAGGTTTTTACATTTTTAAATGGTTGAGAAAAATAAAAAGAAAGGTATTTAATGGTACATGAAAATTATATGAAATTCAAGTGTCTCTATAATTTGTCTACATGTTATCTATAGTGGCTTTCACAGTACAACGGCAGGGCTGAGTATTTGTGACAGAGACTGAATAGTCTGCAAAACCTAAAATATTGACTATATTGAAGAAGTTTGCTGAGCCCTGGTCTAAATCTTAGGCTGTGACTTACACTCAGTTTGGTTCTGAGCACGGCCCGTGGGGCCGGACTGCCCATTTTCAAATCCTTCCATCGGCAGGTGTTCACTGTGTCACCTTTAAAATGTCACTTACCCTTTGTGGGCCCGTTCCGTAACTGTAAAGTGGGGATGATAGCATTTCTCTCATCGAGTTGTTGTGAGGAATAAATGAATTATTTCACGTAAGTGCTTAGAACAGGGCCTGGCACCCAGAAGCTGCATGTAAGTGTTGAGTCCCATGTACATTTTTATCCCGGCTTAAAAACAGTGTTACCAAAATGGTCTCAAATCTCTGCCCTGCAAATTCACCTACCCCACTACCCCCAGTGATGATCATCTTAAAACACACCCTGTCGTCTCTTCAAAGACCGGTCATGGCTTCCTGTTGCCTGTGGAGCAGCCTGGCATTCACAGCTCCACAGCCCAGCTGCCGTCTGTCTGGGCAGCCTCATCTGCCCTGCCCTGCACTCCCCTCCAGCTATGAACCCTTTGCCCCAGCCCTTCCAAGCTCTCCCTGTTTGTCCACACCTCAACACCTTCCCGTCATGCGGTTCTTTCTGCACAGAAGCATTTCTTCTGGGCATTTCAAAAGGGTCACTGAGATCTGGGGGCAGGATACAACCAACATTCCTGTTACGAGCTCCGAAGTGGAAATCAGTGCCTGATCTCACCGTGGGCGTGAAATGGAAATATACTCTTGTTCCTCATGAAACTCCAGATAAATTCTTTTCAGGGTCAGAAAGTAAAGCTGCAAAAGAAGGGTGGGGTAAAGAAATCAAGCGCTCTCCCCCAAGCCAGGCCTCCCTTCAGCCTTGTCTGATGCCGTCTGGGGGTTCTTGCATGATATGCCCTTCCAAGGAGTGTGCGCTCTGGGCAGAGAACTGGGTGGGGAGAAGCCAGAGGGAGCAAGGGAGCCAGACCTCTGATTACATATCAGTATCATAAATGTTTCTTGAAGGTGTTGAAGTAAGCATCAAGATTATGTAACAGTGTGAACGAAAAGCTCATGATACATTAAAGGGAGCTTGTCGGACACAACGTTGCATCCACATTGATTACAACTGAATACAAAGTGTGACTCATCAGAAGACTGATGGTGGACAGGAGGGTGTGAGCGTATGAAACCACTCTTGGGCTAGAGGGGTAGTGGCACCGTGGGTGGTTGTCTTGGTTCCTTTATTTAAAAATGAGTGCCGTTATTGTACACTACACTATCATTTCAGTAGCTAAAAGTTTGATGGTAGGTTTGATGGGAAAACTCATTAGCTTATAAAATGAGTCTCTCATTGTACATATATTATATTTTTAAAAAGGAAAAAAAATTAAAAGCTTTAGAAGACTGGCCCAAAGTAAGCTGGGACAAGGACAGTGTCTTAGCAGCTCTCCACCTGCCTTTTCTTCCTCTTTGCCTCACCGTCAGTAAGCCCACTGGAGACAGCCGCTGTCCAGCTACTGTGTATAGTTATGGCTAAGCTCACATCACCTTCAGACTGTTCCCAGATGTCCTCTGCCTCCCCTCATTTGTCCTGGATCCCCAAACAGCAGTAGCTATTTGTCCAACATTACTCTCCCGGAGAGTTCTGCCCTTCGCTAAGGAACCAATAAAGGCATCTGTGGTAACGTGCCCATGAATGATATAGGGTTATTGCCGACCCCTCCCAGGTAGCACTTTTGCTTTTCATCCTGGGGATTCTGATTAATAGGCTGCATTAACGGAAGCACAGTGTCCCAAACAATGGAGGTGATAGTGGAGGAATGGAACCTGGACTTTCCTAACACAAGGGACGTTACTGAGCAGGGCACATAGGTTGGGCAGGGAGGGAGGGCACGAAAGCTGCAAATCTGGGCGGGAGTTAATTTCCAGCTAAATAACCTGAACTGCTTTTGCTTTCTTTTAGGAACTACCCAGGCCCGTACCTCCCCTGGGGAGAACACACTGGAAGAGCAGCTATGGCCAGAGGTCAGGGCTTTGTCCTCACGGGAGGGGGAGTGAGTTCCCTTCTAGAGGGTGAATCTAAGTCTTGATGCAAGTTGACAGGTTCCCTCCCTGAGGGCTTGAGGGAATGGGCTAGATGAGCGGCTTCTGCAGGGACAGCCGGGCTGCCTGGCAGAGCATAACTGTATCCCCTGGAATTTGGGGCTCATCATCCCTGCAGAGTGAGCAGGTGGTTCCCAGAAGTGTCTGGAAAGATTATAGATGGGCTGGTTATCTCTGAGAACCTTGAAGCAGGTGCTATGAGTTATCTGAAGGCATCTGGGTGAGATCTTCCTAGAACATCTACAAGATAAGAGTTGAGAGTAAATGCTTTATCTCTTACCGAAATTGGTAATTCACGAGAAATTAACTTGCGTCTCCTTGTGACAGAGAGATGTGGTCAAGCAACTCATTTACTGCACATTTTTCCCCCATTGGAGTATTTCCCCTTCCACTCTCAATTCTGGTGAGAAAACATATAATCTCCCTTCCCAAAGCCCTGCATGTGATTCACAGAAGCAGAGGCTGGTCTGGATTTTCACAGGCATCTGAGGAGGCCAAGTGGTCTTGAGGACCCCAGCACTGGTCACCCAGTCCCTCCTGTGCTCTCAGCGGCCCCTCTGGGCTTAGGACACATTCCGTTCCAGTGGGAATGTGAGAGTCTCCCAGTTTCCACTTTATCCAGTTACCAGCAGCAAATAGCATAATGCCTCATATACCTACTTTTGTGTAAATAATCAAATTTAAAGAAAGCAAGCAGATAATACAAAACACATCATAGGATAGAATAGATTTAAAAATTTTTTCAGTCTAGATATACTGGGTCTCTTCTTAATGATTTCTTTTTTATTGTAAAATATACATAAAATGTACCATTTTTGAGTATACAGTTCAGTGGCATTAAGTATATTTACATTGTTGTGCACCTGTCACCACTATCCATCTCCAGAACTTTCTCGCTATTCCAAGAATTGTTCTTATTCTTTATCCTCCCTCCCTCTCCACCCCACTGTTCTGGGGTATCCTTAACTGCCATCTGCTAAAATCACTGTCAATAGGCACGTGTCCCGTTTTACTAGGTGAGCTGAATAAGGGGTTAGAAGAACATGACTGTGGAAAATTGTTGCTTCTGGATTTTGAGCCCAGTACAACAAGTACCTGGTCATTTCTACACCAAGTTTTCAGGACCTGTAATATTTCCATACAAGGCAGTTGATGTTTCCGATGTTCGGTTTCAGTGGCAGAGCCTGAAGGGCTTTCCATTCTCATGCAACTCAAAGAAGTCAGGATCTGATGCGCCTTCTAACTCAGGTATGTGCCGCTGAGCCAGGAAGGCCAGTGTCTTCTCTCTGGTGTGGCCAGCAGAGGCTCCAGCACTACTCCTCTTGCACTTTTTGGCTGTTCAAGCCCTCTCTCTTTCCCATCCTCAGTCCTTCCTCTTTTGGCCCCCTCAATCATTCCTGTGGAGGGACACAGCCCAACACACCACGCAGAGATAAAACCGGCATGACCCCACAGTGGTTTGCCTGGGTGAGGGCAACCTCTGGGAGCTCACCTCCAGGTGGGTAGAACTGAGTCACAGGAGCTGTGGCTTGGAGCTTGGTCACTCACGTGCCTCCCCCAATCCTGTAATATAGCCACAGTGGCAGCTCTAGACATATTATTCCTATAATGGGCTACATTTATCTAATACCTGGATGCTATGAACGTTGCTCTTGAGCTGGTCCTCTTCTCCAGCCTTATCCTATCACGTGGCTGCATTATAAACTGTGTTTAATGGATTTGTTTATGTTTGCGCTGTACTGACTTACCAGGGTTTCCAGTAAAGCATGCTATTCTCACTATTCTGTCATGTAAGGAATGTGGGTAGAAAAAGAAATTGATGTACTTCTTAGGAAGTGGCTTCTTTGGGAGGCTTACCTTGAATGCCCCTACAACGTGACCGAGGAATATATCAGTGGTTTCTAAAGAAACTTAATTCTAAGGATGCTGGGGGCCCAGGCAGGTCACGGAGTCTTCCTGGTGTACCGTTTGCACACAGCTTGCATCTGATGTTTATGTGTGTTCACAGGCTTTGCGTCCTTCAAGCCAACATGAACCCTTTTGAACCCAGTTGGTTTTCATTTTAATTTGCTGCTCTCTCACTCATTAATGGTAGCCCAGAAGTGCAGAGCCAAGGGATAGAGGGAAGTAAGAGGCAGAAAGAGGGCCAGGTGAGAGGGAAATGAGGGCTGTGAGTGACCTTCCCTGGGACACCTATTTGGAGATACTGAGCCCAGTTAGCAGTGTGGCCTCCAGAGAGGAGTGAGCCTCTCTGGAGCAGGTTTCCAGGGCTCCCAGCAACTGCCTGATCTTCAGCTTCCCACTCCCATGGCCAACAGGCACAGCCTCAGCAGCTGTCCTTGGGGTGGGAGACATGGGTCTGCTTCTCCCATTTGGCGCCCTTGGTCCGCACCGTGGGGAACATAGATCTGACCTTCTTACATGCGTTCTTGTCTTTGCAGTCCACTCCCTGAGCCCTTCTGATATTAAACTTGTGGCAGCCATTGGCAATGTGGAAACTGTGAGTTTGTCAAGGAGACGGAGGTGGGACGTATAGGGTTTGGGACTGGTGACCTTCTGAATGAGCTCCTAGTAACCAGGCAGAACGCTTCGCTTGGGGAGAGAAGGGCATTCTCTGAGTTGGAAAACATCCTAAACTCTAGGGTTCTGAGTTGATGTTGTTTTGACTTAAATGAAATGAATGCCTCCCTTTACATTAGGATGAAGAAACTTTT